GACTCTTCTCACCAAGGGCTCTGACTTCACAGAACTTAGTTCTGTTATTTTTATCTTCCCTATGACAGGACAGCACAGGAAGTGATTAGTACAGATGGGAGACTTTTTCATTTTGTTTTTTACCTTGAGAATTGGTCAGACAACATCCTCGTGGCAGATGCACCTTCATCTCGAATGGATTTTAGTGTGGTTGGCGGGTGGGTCCCCGTAACTAGCTGAATTCCTGGCATTGGCAACAGCCAACTTTCCAAAGTGAGGAGGCAGCTGAGTCCTTCAAAGAAAAGAGGTAAGTCCTATGGAGATTGGAGCTATAATATGATATTACAATCCTAGGAGGTACCACAAGTTTCGGAGGCATCTGCTATCAGTCCTGGGAATATAGTTCCACTGGAGCCAGTGTCCAGAAGCAGCAGAAACCCTGGGATTTCCTCCTGGAGATGATAGAGTATCATAGCACTTAGGGTCGGAAGGGACCTAAACAGATCATCAGGTCCGACCCCCTGCCCCAGGCAGGAACGGGTGCTGGGGTCATATCACCCCAACCAAATATCTGTCCAGCCTCCTTAAAGACCCCCAAGGTAGGAGAGAGCACCACTTCACCTGGCAGCCCTATCTGTAAAGTGATGCTTCCTGATGTCCCGCCTGAACCTTCTCTTGTTTTATGTTTTAGAGATGTTATACGTCTTAGAGATGAGCCCCAGAGTGTCTGTAGGGTTAGTGGGCAGGCCTAAAACATAATAAAAGCTAGCAAGCAGGACGACAGATACCAACTGTGATCTGATTGTCTTGCCATCGAGTCTTTTGTCTCCTCTTTTCCCTGAATAGGAAGGCCAAGGAGTCAAGAGAGCTGGATTTTTTTTTTTTTTTTTTTAACCCTGGTCTGTTTTGAATAGCGGTGGAGTCAAAATCACTCCTGAATGTTGGCATGTTCAAATTTTAGGGACATCTTTTTGCCATTTAAAGCACTTCTGCTGGGTGATATCAGCTGTTCTTTCTATTGCAGTAGCACCTAAAGACCCACAATGAGGAGGGGCTCATTGTGCTTGGTGCTTTTCCATGTGCATTGTAAAAGACAGTTGATATCCTGATGTTGTTATAAGTCAGAAGTTGGGTACCTCTAATTTAAAGTGGCTAGGCACTGCATGCAGCACAGGCCACACTAGTGGTCACTGTACACCCTGGGGACCACACCAGTGTGAACTACAGACCCCCACACTGCACCTACCTGTGCTGCATGAGTAGTCCCCCCCTTCATCTCTGCACCATGCCACGGTGCCATGGGGTTACTTCTGAAGGTTAAAGTCTTGCTTCCTGGTTTTTTGTTTTTTTTTGTTTTTTTAGAGTGAGCAGATCCAGGAAATGCCTTTGCTTTTGAACAACATTTGCTGACGGGTTTTATATTATGGGTTTTTTTTAAGATTAATGATCCTTTATATTTTCCATTTTCCTTGCTCACGCCATATTAAATACGAAGGCTGAGGAACATCATTCTGAGACCTCAAGTGGGTGTCACCTTTCCAATGTAGCATCATTAGTTCACACCTCCCACGTTTGTCACCTCTGTCCTAGGCAGCAAAAGCTCATCACGGATGGGATCAGAGTAAGAGTACAGTAGAGAAATACTTTCCGCTAGTTACCACAGCGCTTTGACTAACCTCAAAGTCGCTGTGCTCTTGCTTCTTGGTCCTTCTTGCTGCTTTGAGAGACATGCACCCTGTTTTCTGCACTGCACTTATACTTTGCATGTTATGCATGTCTATAGTTGCGGTGATCTTGTGACATGGCGTAAGCTTTATAAGCATGACTGTCGGATTGTTTCATTGCCTTTAAGTAATGAAACCATGAGCATGCTATCCAGCTCATCCCGGATGAGGATCCTGTGGTTGCTGTGTGTAATACATAGGGAAATGGGAGGCCTGGTTATATGTTTCTGGATCTGCTTCCTTTGGCATGGGAGAAGCACCTATCCATTGTCACCTAAAATGTGAATGGACATGCCTGATGCTCTGTTGGCTGCTGGGTGGTTTAACTTATAAAAATCATAATGAAGTAAGGCTGGAAGGGACCTCAAGAGATTATCTACTCCAACTGGGGATTAAACCTGCAACTTTTTGGTGTTGGTTGCACCACTCTCTAACCAACTGATCTAAACGCTGCCTCTGTCTTGTATGAGAACTGCTTGCTTCATTTTTGCACCAAAATTTGACCCAAAAAACCTTGCCTGCCTATATCCTTAGACCAACACGGCTACAGCCAAAACCTCAAAACAAGGAAGAGACACTTGTGCATGGGTACTGACAGGGCTGCAGAGATTATCAGGACATTGTGAGCATCTGCAGAGGCTCTCAAAGCAAATTGGGGCAAATTGTCAGACTCGAAGCTTCAGGGATGCCTTTGGACACCTGCTTATGGTAAGCAAATAGAACAAAAATAACTAAGAAGAGCTTTTGAATACAAGGTATTCTTCCTCAGGTCTCAATGCATTGCATTAGAAAGCCTGTCCGAGTCCATCCCAACCATGCAGGTGGTCCAATAAAAGATATCACCTGCAAAAATCCATGCCTCTCACCTATTTCCTGGACCATCACAGCTGCATCACTTGAACGCTAGTATGAAAGAGTTTCCGAAGTGGCTACCAAAAATGTCCACTAGAGGGAACTGCATGTTAGACAGTTGAATTGCAGATCGTCCAGGAGACTGCCAGCATCTACAGATAACCTTCAGTGCTAGCGTGGGGGAAAGTACAAAAAACCAATTAAGACACATTTTGGTACCCTGATTTTTTTTTTGATTTTTTTTTTTTTAATTTGGTCTCTGTCACCTGGGTCTATTGCTTTAAGAGCATCCAGGATTTGTTGTTCACATGGGGCCACACTTTTCATGTTGTGCATGTTGTTGGCTGAAGAGAGCAGCAGCATCCAGTTCAGAGACCTTGTCTTCACTTTATGTTGCTGTAGTTAGATCTCTACCCCCAATTCAAGCATGGCAGTGTCTTTAAGTTGATTTGGTTGACCCAAGTTGGGGTACAAGTTCCTAGGAGGTATTTAAGCATCTAAACTTCTATTTATTTCAATAGGATATGTGTGGGTGACTTCAGTTAACTCGGAAGTGACATGCTTCGTGCAAACCGTCAAGCCGTTGTAGGGCAAGATTGTACGCCACGCTTTTTGCCCTAAGACCCTTGAGATACAAAGCTGGCAAGAGTTCCTCTAGTGCAGTCGCTGACCTGTAAGCCCAGATCCCTGTTGTGTTTGGGAGAGCAGGGCGAGAGAAGCCTGCTGTGCCTGCCTCCATGGGCACTGAACTCTCAGAAGAGCTGTCAAATCCTCCCTGAGTTCTGCTCGTGGAGCCTGGTCCCTTGGGTATGGGATTTCTTAGAGAGATAAGAACTTGTTTTCTCTGGAAAGTTTCAGGGGAAATTTAAGATACTAGTTTGACTCAATTTGAAAACCCAAGGGCACAAATCCCATAGGTAACGAATGCACTTGCTCATCAGAGAGCTGTGGGAAAGCTTCCTGTGGGATTGCTGCAGCTCACTTCTCCTACCCACTCAAATGCCTGTTCCCAGTTGCTGCTGCAGTCTGGACCCACATGAATACAGCAACTACCGACTAAAGAGAGTGCAGTGGGCCCAGTTGTGGGAGAAGGGGCAGGAGAGCTTGGGAACCCCCTCACCAAAATAAATTACAACACCCAAAGGTCATTCAGCATCATAGGATCTTGGTAAATTGGGCATGATTTATCCTAGGAATTGCTGGGGGTAGAGTTCATGCGGATGGAGCTGTTTTCACATTTGAAACACTTTGAGATTTTTTTTCCATATTTCCCCCCACCTCTTTGCTGTGAAAACTGCATGCATATGTGTAAATGTTTGTATGCACATGTTTATGTGGATAGGATCTGTGTACATCTTTATGTGGGTTATACATATAAGGGTGTAGTCTGAGTCTGTGCCTGTGGCTGTGTTGTCTGTAGACAGATCTATTCCGTTTCTGTATTGTACGTGAGAGCTATGCTGCAAAAACTTTCAGGCTGCAAAGCTAGGCACCTGGGTGTTCCTGTCAGCGCTGGATCTGCAATGAGTCCTTCCCAGGATTACAGCAATCCTTTGGTGCCCCTTTGGGGTGGAGTTTGCAGTCGGAGGAGGTTGGAACAGGAAGGGCAGGGGAAGATGGGCACCATGCAAGAATTCATTTTTGCAACCATTATCTTCCATGGGGAGAAGGGACAGCCAGGGATAGGAAATCTTACATCAGGTGTGCATGGTCCACTTCCCAGCCAGGAGCTAGCAGCATGACAGGGATGCCCAAGAACAAGAATGAAAGGGTTCTGATATCGGGCACGGCATGTAGAAGAAGGCTGGGTTTGCCTGTGGGACTGGCTGCTTCAGTCTGTCCCTGAGGTGGGACTGATGAGCACAGGGGAACTGGCAGAAGGAGAGACAAAGCCACTTTGGCACCAGCTTCTGTCTCATCCTTGATCAGGACTGTCTTTATGGGGTGGGAAGGGAGAACAGGATTTGAGACCTCTTGCTTCCTCCCCTTCCCACCCCACCAAGGTTGCCCGAGTCCTAAAAGTCATTCTTGCCTGGCATCCGTTCAATAGCTATTGTGCACAACTAGTTGCTGTCTCAGCCTAGCGAAATAGGCACTCGCCTCCACTGGCAGCCTCATCATAGAGGCCACAGACAGTTCCCCTTTTCCCACCTTCAGAGCAGAGGTGGCAGAAGCTGTGTGTCAAAGAGCCACCCTACCCTCGCTGCCATGTTTGCAACTGCACTTCAGTGATGTCTGGGCACCTAACGCATTTTAGGCTGCTCTGAAAATCATCCTAGCCTTGAGTGCTCGAAGCCCCTTGAATGGAAGGGGCAGGGTAAGGCAAAATCATTTATTAGGGTTCATCGCTCAGTCAATAATCACAAATATACTTCAGTTCAATGCAAGCACTTTTCATCCTATGGGAGGAGAAACAGCAGTTCTCCCTGTGGCTGTTGCCCTACCTCAGTAACACTTCCGATGGACAACGTACGGCCCAATGTCATTGTACTGCTCCTTTTGAATCCAGCAGGCCTGGAAGTTCTTCAGGGAAGCCAGGATGGAGCCTCCGGTCCAGACCGAAAACTTCCTCAGGGGCACAGCAGAGACTCTAACCTTGGCACTAGATGGCAAATGCCGAAGGAGCTCGCTGGTAAACCTCTTTTCCAGCCCATTAAAGAGAGATGACCCTCCACAGAGAAAGATGTTCTGGTACATGTCTCCCCTGGCCTCTTCTGGGACCTTACTCAAGCTTCTCTGGGCCATGTTATGGACACCCACAAAAGAAATCCCAGGCAACTTAGGAGGGGTGAATAGCATTTCTGGGCATTGGAATCGCTCTTTCCCCAGGCTGATGACGTGGCCATCTGGTAGCTGGAAGTCTACCACGTAGTCCTTCCTGGGGAGATGACATTCTCTCTCAAAGTTCGCAGCGACATAGCAGCACTTATGCTTGATGTCTTCCACAATGTGCGTCATCCTCTCGGTAAACACGTGCCCCGAGTCATTGAGAAGCTTCATCAGGAAGGAAGTCATGTGAGATCCAGCAATATCCATTCTCTCAATGGCATGCGGTAAGTTGTAGCCCTGATGGACTGGAACAGTGTGGGTCACTGCATAGCCACTATCTACCACCAAGCCACTTATCTTACCATGAGCATAAACTGACAAGACGGAGTGGTAAGCAATGTACATGCCTGGAGAGTTCAGAGACTCAAACACCACCTCGACCATCTTCTCTCTGTTGGTAGTAGGGCTGAGTGGTGGGGCTGACATCCAGAGGGCATGGTCTTCTGGGCGGACCTGCAGATCATGATAGAACATGTGTCGCCAAAGGACTTCTGCTGCCTCCCAGTCTATGATGATGCCATTTCTCACGGGCTCAATAACTTCAACATCTGGCTGCGTTCGGGCTCTCTCTCCTACAAAAGTGTCTGGTCTGGCGCCCCGCAACTTGAATGACCGCTGTGTTGGGCGGCCCACCCACGAACCAAGGACAGATTTGGGGTTCTGCTGCCCAGCAAACCCTGCTTTACAGCATCCTGTGCCTGTATCTATCACAACTGCCCCTGTTCTCTGCATAACCGTGGGGTGTCTCTCGGGGGAATTCAACCTGCCTGTAGTGGCTCTTCTGTCTTCTGAAAATCCTCTGCCCTTCTGATAGTGCTCTGAAGAGCGTGCTTCAGATCGTAAAGAAGGGCTTCTTGTCTGTAGACTCCCCGGTCTTGAACTCATTGATTGTGGAGTCATTGTTCCGATCCTCATTGGTTTGGGGGTTATTGGCATTGGACTGGACTGTCTTGACCAGCCTGTTCTTGGGCTGTAGAAAGACCTTGCAGCGGAGACAAAACGTGTCTCTGGAGGCAGTGGCTTATATAGGAGGGACCAGGTCTGTGGCTCTTCATGGTCGTCGTAGAGAGAACTGTGACATCACTCCAGCATCTGCCATGATGCTGCTGTTTGCACGGGGTACCTTGGTCACAATGGATGATGCATTTTCCACCGAAGGATCAAGTGGCTCGAGTGTTATGCCCTTTTGCCTTTTTGTTCTCTGGGCTTGTTCCTTCTCACCTCTCCCTCTAATCTGAAATGTGGCATTTTGTTCCTCTCTTGCTTCTCTTCCCACCCCAAACCATTCCTATTCCATCTCCCATGGTACTTACTAAAACTTAAACTGTTCAAGTCTTGTACTTTAGGATAAACCTGAACATTGGATTAATTAGCCTTTGGGCAAAAGGAACTTGTGAAAGACATTCCAATCCCTTGGAAGTGCTTTGCACTGGCATCCATGTCCGCTTTGGTAGCAAAATGTTAATGTAATAAATCAAAGTGGCGACCCATTAATGTTATATTGGGATCATGGCTACGTGTGAAAGACATGCTCCACCATTTTATGGTATTGAGCAAGGGTCTTCAGTGCCAAGTCTGGTGTCATCAAAGGGGAAGGAGGTATCTATCTTTTGATTTATTTTTTTTTTGAGTGTCCCAGCCCAAAGACTTGGGTTTCTGCTGCTGAAGTCAGCTGAAAGCTCTTCTAAGTTGTTAGAGGGGAGGGAGGCCTTTTACTTGGAGTCTACCCTGGAAAGGACACGCAACCAGAGAGCTAAGAGCAAGTTTTCCAAGGGCTTGATTGTATCTGCTTCTTTAATCCATTGTCTCAAAGCCAGATTTTTAGAGGGGTTTATATTTTTGATCCTCTTGAAAATCATTACTAGGCTTCTATCTGACCTTGCAACATAATATCAGATGGTTAACCAAGGCTCTGCATTCATGGGAAACTTATGAGGAATAAACCACAGCTATCCTTGTTACTGGGCAAAGCTGATACCTCCCAGAGGTTGGAAGGAGACACCTGGAATATCCTGGAAAACAAGGTCTCCAGTGAGCTTTCCAGGAGTTCCCATTTTGGTCAGCTTTTTTGTGGTTGTATGTGGAGATGTTGGCTTTCTAGTTCAGCCTTTGTCCTTCAGAGCCCGGGAACATGTTACATTTGGGCACAATTATTGTGTTTAATTGCACCATAAGTGGCAACCGTGCCACATGTAGGCCTTCATTGAGGTGCCACAAAATGGCAAACCAGCCATACAGATGTTCCACATTGTTGGCATCAATCCTGGACAGTCTGGCTGGGGGCAGGTCTGGGTCTCCAGTGGGCCATGGGGGCTGCCCCAGGGCTGGTGCTGACAATAAGCTGATTTTTTTTTTTTTTTTTTTTAATTTTTTTTTTTGGCACCAGTGACCAGGGCAGTCCCGGGTCCCAACCAGGCCTGGGGCTGCCCTGCAGGCTCTTCTAGCAAGGGGAGCTGAGGAGGTTTCCCCCTCTCCCTTCCCCACCCCACCAAGAAGTTTAAGCTCCCATACCCAAATTCTTCTGCACCCAGTAGCTCTCACGTGGCTTCTGGCCATAGTGTTATTGGGATCTGTCCCCAGTCCCAAGTGTCTGTATCCTGCTATGCACACATGGCACGGCCAGACATGCGATTGCTTGGATGAGGGGGTCAGATCCCAACATGCAGTCATTTTAATGTGGGCCGGCAGCCTCAGCAGAAGTTAGCATTGCATCAATGGGACACTTGTAAGGGCTGCATCAGACCTGCTGCTCATAGCACAGATCACCAGGTGTCACTCTTGTAGCACCAGTAGCAGCAGCTGTAGCCGGAAAAGATGGAATTATTTCGGGGACAAAGCACTGCTGGCCTTCTCGTTGTTCTAGAAGAGTGAATATGTCACGCTAATTTTGTACCGGTGACGTGCACCAGAGCCAGAACTCTGGAGGTAAAGTTATTTATTGAAGTAGCAGCTAGAAGCCATTGCATTGTAAATGCAGGGGGGGAAAGTGGAAAGCGCTTATCTCTATTCAGAGTTTATAATCTAAAGGAGCAGGATGAACATGGGTGGGGGGGGGGACACCAGAGGAAGTGACTTGTCCAAGGTCATATGGTAGATCGGAAAGGGGAATCGAATAAATGTCATATTGTCCTGTCCACTGGCTACTGCTGCCCTTCATAGGCTCTTCTACTGAACCACAGCAAAGTCTCTTGTGGGCAGCAGCATTGCAAGTTCCCTCCATGCCTTCATATAAGACCCGAGAGACCCTGTTTAAGGCGTGGGGAAGGACTGTTGGCTCCCATCCTTTTGAAGGGCCTCTCAGACTCTGAGCAGCATTGCCAAATCTGCAGAATGGCCAGAGGAACCACAGCTCTTCTCGCCCTTCTTAGTTCATAGAGTCCTAGAAATTGAGGGTTGGACGGGACCTCAGGAGGTCATCGATTGTAGCCCAGCCCCTGTTGGCAGTGGTTTGCATCAGGCAAAATTAATCTTGGTGAGGCTGGGACTGGTGATTGATGGGTGAGGACTGCCATAGCTCATTAGCCTCCCAGGTGCCCTTGGTGTCACTCTACAGCAATAAAACCCATAGCACGTTGAAACCAGAATTACATAACTCTCTGTTGCAAAGCAAAGGCATCGCTGTCATTGTGCTCCCCAGCTCAAGTTCTTGTGGCCAGACCCCACTCTGTCTTAAGTTTATCATTACACCTGGTGGGGGGGGGGGGGGGGGGGTGATTTGCATTTGTGATCCCAAAAGCATCACTGCGACTATTTGCCATTCTTTCCTTGTATTGCTTTTTGTGTCTAACATCAGACCTGGCCTGCAAAAAAATGGCAAATACAGGCTTGGAATCACCATAGCTGTATCTACATTTGCTATTAACATGCCACAATAAACTCTGGCACAGTTTATGCCAGAATTAGCTGTGCCTGGGACCGCAGCACTTTGAGCTGGGGTGGAGCAGCCCCTGGCTGGCAGGAGGCTTGTGGGGGTCAGCCCCGGGATCCAGGTGGCAGAGAGGCTGGCTGGGGCACAAGGGTGCTAAAGTGCAGGGCTAGGTGGCAGGCAACCTGCCACGCTTTTTAGCGTCCTCATGCTCCAGCCATCCACTGTCACTGTCTACATGCGTGTTTTGGTGCATGTAATTACTCTGCTGTAAGATAGTACTGTACCTAATACCCTATGGCAGAGTTAATTAACTTACTGCACCCTAATACCAGCACATGTGTAGATGGTGATGCTTTACTGCAGAGCTAATTAATGTACTCTACACACTAAAGCGCATATAGATATAGATATAGATATATAGATGCACCCCCTGTTGCCTCTCTGTGCCTCCATCTACAAAGTGGGGATAACGCTGCTTTGAGATAATCAAGTGCGTGTTTGCTCTGTAAGAGCTGGTGTTGCATTTTGCAATCTACTCAACAGTGTTCTTCATCTAATTCACCCAATTTACTTGTTGCTGCAGCTTGGGCTGGCAGCTGCTTTGATGTGTTGCCATAGAACAGGAGTGCAGCAGTGATGCCATCAGTGCTCAGCAAGGTGTGGAAGTGATAGGAGCTGGAGCACCGTGTCTGTGCACACAGCCTGGGAGATCTTGGGCATCTGTGCTGCGGCAAAGGTACTTCCAGGATCTCTCTTCTGTGTTGCAGCTGGCTTGGGTGGGCTGTGGATCTGGAAGCCGGATCGCTTCACATCTGTGACTTCAGTCTGGGCTGTGTGAATGAGTGACTTATTTGACGTGGGCCTGACCTATTCCCTGACTCTGCCCCTGCTAGTGGCAAGTAAAAGGTGCAGCTGCGCTGGGAACAAGGGAAGGCAAATCAATGCAACAGATTTAACTTCTCAAACAGATGTAGCCAACAGGAGCATTTCTCCTTCCACCTGCTCCTTCACTCACCAGAGGGACAAAGTGGCTCATTTACGTTCAAGGAGAGTTGGTCGTTCCTAACAATGGGATTTACCCAGCTGGGTGAGACTACTGTCTTTTCCTGCCTGGTATCCTGCCTTCAGCTGCGGTAAATGCACAATGCTTTGGAAGGTGGCCTGATGTCGTAATTATGGCACACAGTTGTCCACATCTTTATGGACTTTCTTCCAGACCCCCATTTGCCCTAGGCTGGTTTATGCTCTAAATCTTGAGGATTTATGTTCCTTGTGTGATAGATATCCAGGGTCAAATCCACTATACAGCTAGAATGAGTATCCTCAAATCCAGTTCCTTAGTCAACATGTTAGATAAGGGTGGCCTGCACATGAAATCATAGTGCACTTCTCTCTCCTCTTTGCTTTCTCTTTTGTTGTTGGCCACTCTCCAATCCCCTCTTGTTAGGATTGGGTGCCATACCTCAAACGTGAAATTCTCTAGCAGCTCATGACCTCTGCCATATTGTTGTATGTGGTGATAAAGAGGTGGGCTTTGTGGTGTGGAATTGGCCAACATGAGACGTATTTTCTGCACCAAAACAGAGAGAGGATTATTTGCCAAAGCTGCAAAAGTCTTACCATTGCCTGGCCATAATACTCATTTATTTTCCTTTTTTCCTTCTAATTTCTTCCATCCTGGGAAGATGGCAGAAGAAGGCTCTGGATTATCTCTTGCAGTCGGCCACCTCTAACCAAAATGAAGATGAGCCATTGTTTGTCTCTCTCCTCCAGAGACCTGAGGGTTGCGCGTAGCTGGATTCAGCACTGATTTGGGACTGGTGTTCTCCTGTGATCCGCAAGCAGTCGCGGCATTAGAAGTATTGGTGCCAGCATAGTAGCTGTTGTCTTTGCTGGCACACCGCAGATCAAACTGGAGACCACCAGTCTACAGGCATGAACTGCTATGCCTCCCCTGCCCCCCATTATGGAGCTACAACACACTCCCATCCTCCGTGACTTGGCCATGGAACAAGACGACACACAAACTCCCCCAACCTGTCCTGTCTGAGGTATCGTGGTTGTATGC